CCCCCACCCCCCACCCCGGGCCGGCCAGGCGGGCCGCTCACCAGTGCAGCCGCAGCGCGTGCAGGAAGGCCGAGAGCCCCTCCATCACCAGCAGGATAGCGACGGTCAACACGGCGAAGGCGGCAAAGACGGGGACCAGCGCCACGGCTGCCACGCCCAACTTGTGGCCCAGGCCCAGGCCCGAGCGCATCACCATGGCCCACAGGACCTCCGACAGCTCTGGGGGGTCGGGGATGCAGCAGTGGAGGCCAGGGCCAAGGGGGTGCCCGCCCAGCCCCCCCACGGCAGCCCGCCTTCCTGTGGAGCCGGTGGGGGATCTCCTCCAACATCCTCCCTTTACAGAGGGGACACCGAGGCCCGGAGAAGTGACCCGCCCAGGCCACCCAGCCAGCAGCTCTGAGCGTCAGAGGCAGCCAGGACTCGAGCTGCGGCGGGCCAGCCCTCCCTCCGCGACCAGGTCACTCACGGGCGTGGGCCAAGCTCAAGGCCCAGAGGCGCAGGTAAGAGGCCGTGTTGGAGATGCAGCCCAGGCAGAACTCGATGGTGTGGATGGCCTGGTGCATCAACACCTCGGACAGGACAAACTGAGGGGCGGGCAGCTGTGAGGGGCGGGCCGGGCGGCGGCCGGCACCCCACACGCACACCCGGGGAGACCACACCCACCTCGGCCTCCTCTCCGTCCTCCGGGCACCCCGCTTTCTCCTCATCAGGGCCCCAGCCGGCCACGGATGCATCGGAGGAGTCCAGAATCCCGGACTTGTCCTCATCCTGGGGGTGGGGAGCAGGTGGCATGAGCAGGGACGGGGCCGGGCCGCCGCCGCCGCCGCCCACTCGCAGCCCCGAGGAGGCCGGGGTGGGGTCAAACCTCCCGGCAACCCCCCCCGCCCCCCCTACCGGCTGTCGGCCAGCGGGCCCCCTCTGCGAGCGGCTGCGGTGCCGCCAGTGCAGGAACAGCGGGGTGCCGAGCAGCAGGACGGGCACCATGACCAGAGCCAGGATCACCAGTGCTGACTGCACCGCTTCCTGCGGGGGGAGGGGGTCCCAGTCACCGGCCCTCTCTGAGCCGCGCCGCGCACCCAGCCCGGGCCCAGAGAGCCTGCGGCCGGCCCCTCCCCCGGGGACGTGGCTCCGCAAGGAGTCCTCGGAGGGGGGAAGCTTCCAGCACCCACTGCGCCGGGCCTCCTTCCACCTCCCCGGCTCCCCGGCGGAGGGAGGTCTGACTCGCGTCCCCGATTCTCAGATGAGGCTCCGAGTGGCCCCGTAGTGGGTGTGGGCCGGCACCCCCGTGCCTGCGCACCTGCCCGTGGAAGAGGGGCTGGTTGGTGGGGCTGCGGGAGAAGAGGAACATGTTGATGAAGTGGATGAGGATGCTGGGGGCCGAGGCAGCCCTGGCGGCGTAATCTTGCAGCCACTTGTAGACGACGAGGAAGACCAGGTAGCCGAACAGCCCCAGCAGGAAGACCAGCTCCGGCAGGGTCTCTAGGAGCAGCCGGTGCCACTGGCCGAAGTGCCTGCGCCGGGAGAAGGGCGGGGTCGCCGGGTCACCCACCGGGCCGCCCCGGCCCCACCTGCCCCGGTGTCCCCCGGAGCCCGGGCCCTCACACGTGGTTGAAGACTCCCAGGACCACCCCGAAGGTCATGTGGGTGACCCCTAGGATGACGGACATCTTCATCTTGAAGGAGTTGAGGAAGCTCAGGTGGTTGACGGCCAGGCTCCAGATCTGGGGTGGCAGGAGGGACGGGTGTCACGCGGGGGGG